CGTTCGGCGTACCCGTCGTGGTCTTCGAGTTGAGAAGCATGCCCGATCACCAGAAGATCGTCGTTGTTCCATCTTGACACGCCGAGAGTATATATATATATATACCGGTATATGAACTCGCCGCCAAAGTGCAGCGTTCCCACATCGTCAAGTGGCTTTACAGCCAATACCCCACGGCCTGCATTAAGCCGTTCTGGTCATTTACTAAGTCTTCCGCGCGCCCAACTTGCGTAGTGTGCCTGCAGCGATCCATATCTGACGGCCAAGACAAACACATGGACGTGGCACCAGGTGCGCCGATGGATCACGACGTGGACCGGCATCGACACTGGCGAGTCGCTGTGTCGGAGCCTCATACGAGTACTTGCTATGTCGATTGCAGCTACGCATATTACTGCTATAAGTATTACTAGTAGAACTATGCTCTTAGAATGTGGCGTGCTTCATTTGCAACGAGTACACAAGAAACAATATGCAGTATTAAGCGTCATGAAGCAGTGTCAAATCGCAAAGGAGGAATCGACGGTAGCGTGCAGACCCGCAATGCAATGCCCGCCGTCCACGCGCCACGTGACAACCGGCAGTGCTTCCAATGGCTCGAGCATACGAGAGCAGCGGTTGGTCGATGGTCGTGATGCAAGGTTGCCGAGATGGACGCCAAGGTGCACTGCGCGCGCCGTCAGTACCCGACACAAAACACAGAAATGGAACGACGCACGTGACGAGGTCGCGGAGACGCCGAGCACTTCATGCAGCTCGATCGTCGACTCGAGCAGACGACCGTTGTGCACAAAGCAAATCGAGACAGCGTCCACAACGACAGGCTCCGAGCACATGTTTGCAATCGATATCGTCACCTATATCATGCATGTCACGATGGATCATTGCGCGAAGAGGTATTGCAAATGTACCAGGGTGTCTGGATGGACGAGCTTCTTCATGGCAGCATTGGCTTCGCGGAGCATCATTTCGAGCACTACGCCCATCCATGAGGTGTAAGAAGACGCGCAGAAGCACGTACGCGATGGTCCGCTGTCGCTTCGCGCCTTTCTCTGCGTGGAGCTGAGCCATCTAATGCAAGGACCGTGCACGACCATGCAGCACCTTGATGGACGACCCGACGGCGCCGCAGCGCTCCATATCCATCCACCGAAAGAGAATGAGCGCCGCCGTCGAGAACGTCTTCCACTACGTCGTCACGAGTACGCGTTGGTCGCTGCATCATGGGAAGAAGGATCGTACCAAGAGCTCGTGGGCGAGCACGAGGTTGTGCACGTCATCGACGAGGACGCGGCGCTCAAACATCATGTCGGCGCTTGCACTGGATACGTCTGATGCATGGAGCGCCGCCGCATGGAGGTCGATCTGTCGGCGGATGGCATTGGTCTCTTGGCGGACGTGGTCGCTCGAGGCGGGGAAGAGGTCGCGGAAGGCGTCGATAGCAGTCCCAAGGCTTGCATGGAGCGCGTCTTCGACTTCCAGAAGCGCACGGAGCTACACCCGCTGGATCAGCCGCCATCCTGCATGCTTCACATACACAGACCTCGTCTTCCACTCGGATCTCCATCCTCTTCCTTCCGGCCGCAATTGAAAATGAAGATCTAGTGCCCTAATTCAAGGCAGGAAGGTGGCGTGAATCTAGTTATATTAGGATTAGGACGAGGTGATGTCCGAATTGGGATGGCGATCTTGCTGTGAACGATCGCAAGTTGCACTTTCGATTGCACCAATGTCATCAACGTTCAAGCAACCGCTCATCTACCTTTTGCATGTAAGTACCAAGATCCCAAGAGTATTGCGTAGAAGATGAAGACGAAATACTAGAGCAGTGTGCTCCAGAGAAAACGATGGGCCGCAAGCCTACATCGATGTGTCGAGACGTGTCGACAGTATCGATGCGAGTTCGCGGCGCCACGTTTTCAGTGCAGCACACTGTGAATCGTTAGTTAGTAGACTGTCTACTGGAAGGCTGATCTACGGACGAGGTCGTCTGCTCGTTCAGCGACTACAAGCAGCGTCACTTGGGATCATGTCGCAACGTACATACCTCGATGACAAGGCGTCAACCAAGCGTCTTCTCGAGCATCTCGGCCTACCAGAAAGCTTGCATCATGGGCTCATCTTCGCAGAGTCGTACCTGGTGCGAGAAAATGATGCGAATGCGGCCCTTTTCCTGGAGGTGGGGCTCGCCGTCGACCTGGACAGGCAGCGACTCACGAAGTTGAAGATCGATCTTCTCGCCTTGGCAGACGCGAGTGGCGCTGGCGAGTCCGAGCTATACAAAACATTGGTAGTCAACGCAAAGAAAACGAGCAGCACGATACGTGAATGGCGCCCTGGTGCATCGTGCTGCCGACAGCCACAACGTCGAGGAGGCCGTCGTCCATGGCGGTAGGTCGGAGCGCCGTGTGGCGGCCTCGCGCATCCTATGGCAATCATGCGCCGTTTGACGAGACACAGCGTCGGATACCCGCTGGCCATAGGCGGGCGTAGCATCATTGCGCCAAAGCTTCGTGCCGCCAGCCTATTTGAAGGATTTGATTCAAACTCGGGAGGTAGACAAAGGAGCGCGTACGTAGCTGTCGATGTTGGTGACAATGACCGCTTCCGTCTCGGCTGGGAGCTGGATGCGCTGGCCGTCGCAGTAGAGCTTGACCTTGGCCTCGAGGTTGGCGCACGTCGGCGTGACCAGGTTCTTGGCACCGAACTATACCACGTTGCAGTCGCCATATCCCGAGTCGCGTTGACGTACCCAGGTGTACCAAGCCTTGTTGGTCAATTGGTTGGCAAAGAGCCCCGGCGATTCCTTGCGCTTCTCGTGGAACTCGAGCGCCACCTGCGCGTCGACACCCACGCCTACGTATACACACGTGAAACGACGAGCAAAGCTGTCGCGTGCGCGCTACTGAAGTAGTTTTGGAGCGTGCACGTCTTCCGGCCGTCCATGGAGATGCGCCAGCAATCCAGCGCGCGCGTATCGGCGTTGGCGATGTCGTCCAAAGTGTCTACGACAAAATTGCCAGCTTGTACCTGCGTCAAGCGCAATGCGTCGTCGTACCAGAGATGGGCTACGCAGCATTGGTATGTAAGAGAGAATATCGTCACGATAGGACATATACCCCACGAGCGTAGCCACCGCCCCAGTTCAAGGACCGCGCCAGGTCGTTGCCGGTGCCTAGCGGCAGGATCGCGACGGGCGGCTGGTCGCTGAGGAGTTCTTCTTCGACCAGATTGCGAATCGTGCCAAGCACCTAGGTTGCATACAGACTCACCCAAACAAGACGACGCGAGAATGCACCCAGCCCACGGTGCCGTCGCCGCCACACACAACGATCTTGAGGCCTTCCACGTGGCGAAACTGAACGAGCGCGCTTCGCGGACCGCCCGAAGCATGCAAATCGTAGATCTAACATAATCAAAGGAGTTTGGTGCAGGCAGTACGCGCCATCGCACCTGAAGCGGGTTGAGATGCTTGAGGAATTGCTGGACGACGTAAGTGCCTTGCTGACCGCCGCTTTTGCCGTTGATAAACACTACAAGTCCGTGATCATGCGTGTCAAATACGTGGAGGCATCGTACCCAGGAGCGGTGTCGTCTTGCGCGGCGTGACGATCTTGTACGGCTGCATTCGGTCGTCGTCGTCGTCCTGGATGACGATCGGGTTGGTCGCCGTTCTACTCGGTCGTCAGGTCGATGCTACATCTCGCAGGATGCAAGGTATACCCCATGCGGGGCAGGCATTGGACGACCTTGTTTCGAAACCCAAAAATGAAAGAATGACCCCTACAATACAGAAGAGTGTGAGCTCAGAGAGATTGAGCGACCGAGTGATGGACCATGTCTCGTGCTGCGCGGTGTTGGCAGTTGTCACCGGCGTGTCTTGCGTCGTCACCGACGTCGGCGCCAAGACGAGGCGACGGTGCGGCCCGTACCCGCACGTCTGGGTGCGACCGCACGACTCGTGCACCACGTCACGGCACCACGCGCACTGGAACGCGTTCGTTCCGAAGCACGAGCCGTCGCAAATCGTGCAAGAGCTGCCCGCGTCAATGTTGTTCTTGACCCAGAAATGCGAGTTGTACGTCGCGTTGGCCGCGACTTTGCACCGGCAGCTGTGGTCGCCGGCCGACTGCCGAAGAATGCACGCTTCGTGCGCCTTCTTGCCGCAGACGTCGCACGCGAGGACCGTGCGCTTGACGTTGTTGGCGACCGAGTCGCACACGTTGCACCAATGAGGTCTATACAGGCGACATGAGATGCACGATCATCGACAGCCGATGCACATGTACCCGGCGCAGTCTTCAAGGCGCCACTGATGACGGCCAAGGACGTAGGGCTTGCCTTGGTAGCGACGCTTGAGGCGCCAGAGGAAGACGGACCGCACGACCCAGTACAGGGCGACGGCGGCGGCGACGACAGCGGCGATGACAGTTGCGGTGGGCGTGTTCATGCTTGGCCTTGGGAGCAAATTGAAAAATGAGACTTCTAGGTCCGGATATCTATCCGGAAGATTGCTTGGTCACCCATCTGACGTGGCACGTCGAGAATCCGCGATAGACAACGACGCGTCCTGCGCGTGCCCACGGTTCGCACTGGGATATATGTAGCTCTGCCTCCATACTTGGCTCTGCACCTGCGGCCGACTCCGCGCCCACTGCATTGCATGGTTCAATACCCTTGTATTGGGGTTGCGAGCTCGTATTTGAGGGTATTATCACATGTTGTACTCGACCGAGGACCGCTTCGTCGGCAGCGACTTGGACTTGACACGCCGAACGATCTCGGCGAGGAGAATGTCGCGCTGTGTCCAAGTAATGATCTTGGAATGGCCCGCCCAATCCAGCGTCTAGCACCAGCAACATTACCATACATGGAAGATGTAGGAATATGAGTACCTCTGCGACTTGGCGAGCGACCGTGTCGCGCTCCTCAATCGTCTTGCCGAGCATAAAGGCCTACGAGACATTCACATCATCGACACCAAACATCCAAGTCGTACCTGGTGGAAGAAGGAAATGTCAATGGCGCATGCATCTTGCATGCGCGGCTCGCCGTCAATCTGAATCGGGAGTCGCTCGAGGAGCTTGATCTCAATGTGCTTGCACTGGCAGAGCCGAATCGCCTTGGAAAGCCCGACCTAGCGTCCCATGAGCATACCTCTTTTCTTATTCCTACGCAAGGTATTACCTGGAGCTGGCCCAAATGCAAGGTGCCCGTGACAGCCACGACGTCCAACAGACCGTCTTGCATCGAGGCAGGTCCAAAGAAGCGTTGCTGGCCGTGCTATAGTCGGCTTGCATCACAGAATCTCCCAAAGGCGGGGCGTACCGGCTGCGTAAACGTATACTCGTTGTCGACGTCGTTGTCGTGCCACAGCACCGAGCCGCCGCCCTACATTCATGGCTTTCATACCTTACCGGCGAGCGAGAGGACGTACGTAGCTGTTGATGTTGGCGACAATAACGCCTTCGATGCCCGGCGGCAGCAAGATCGGTTCGCCATCGCACACGAGTTGGATCTTGGTTTCCAAATTGGCGCACGTCCGCGTGATAAAGTTTTTGGCGCCAAACTGCATGCGCCAAGCCAGTCATGCACGGTACTTCAGATTGTGGTTCGTACCCGGCTGTACCAGAGCTTGTTGATAAACTGACTCATAAAGAGCGCCGGCGACCGCTCGCGCTGCTCGTGAAACTCGAGCGCCACTTGGGCATCGACACCGACGCCTACATTTGAAATGTAAACCAGAGGACCAAGTGACTTCGTACCAAAGTAGTTGTTGAGTACACAGTGCTTGGCGCCGTTCAGATCGACGCGCCAGCGGTCGAGGAGGCATGTGTGCGCATTCTCGAGGTCCGAGAGGATGTCTACAGCCACGTTGTCAGCACCTTCCGACACCCAAGCACAGTGAAGCAAAGTACCGCTAATGCGCTATGCACAACAACGATATGAGTGAAGAAGCGCAAGGGAAGACGCGTACCTGGTCCGAGTAGCCGCCGCCCCAGCCCAAAATGCGCGCGAGGTCGTTGCCCGTGCCGAGCGGCAAGATCGCCACGGGAGGTTGACGCAGCAGGCCTTGTGCCACGAGTTCATCGATCGCGCCAAGCACCTACAAACAATTGTCGCTCGTAACCACGTACCAAGAGCGAGAGACCGTACCCAGCCGACGGTGCCGTCGCCGCCACAGACAAGGATCTGAAGCGCTGTCACGTGTCGGAACTGCAGCAAAGGCGGGCGAGGACCACCGGGCACCGAGAGGTCGTAAATCTAATCACATCACATATGGGCCTTCTGATATACAAAACGAAAACTATACCTGAAGGGGATTGAGCCACTTGCGCAGCTGCCGGAGGACGTAGACGCCCATTTGACCGCCACTGCGGCTGTTAATAAAGACTACAAAATACCATCTAGCTCAGCATGAAAAGGTTGACGTACCCAAAAGCGGCGTCGATCCGATGGGCTGCTCAATGACATACGGCAGCATCTCGTCTGTATCGACTTCAACGACCTCGGTCGTTGTAGCTCTACATTGTGCGTCAAGCCACAAGCCATAGCACACAGGACGCGCGTACCCAGACGACTGCGGCGGCGTAATGTTCGTCTCGGTCGCCCGGCGTTGCCGCACCGTGCTAGTAGCTAGTTCAACACCAATGGACAAGCGCATCGCACGTACCCGGAGCGTGTTTTCATCGGCGACGCGTCGTCGTCCCTACAGATCGCCATCAGACTTGCTGTTACACGGCGCGAGCAAACATCGTTGCTAGCTTGCTCGAGGACGACGACCGGTGCTGGAGCGCGCGCGACTTGATTTTCTGGACAGCCGACTTGACAGATGAGAGCACGGTTGGCTTGGGCTGGATGCGGATCGACGAGGGTGGCAAGACAAGGCGCTCGTGCGGGCCGTAGTCACAGATGGCGCTAATACCGCCATTGTGAAAGCACGTCTCGTGCACGCGGCGATGGCACCACGCGCACTGGATCGCCGAGAGCGCGAGGATGCTGCCGCAGAAGAGGCCGCAGATGTCGCACGTGTCGAGCGGATCGATGTTGCCCTTGACCCACGCATGCTGCTCGAGCGCGCGTGCGTCCAAGTCGAAGGGCACGGCCGCGACCTTGCAGGCACAGCGCTCGGGCAGGCCGCCGCCGCGCAGGTACAGCAGCGCGCAGCGGCCATGAGCCGTGATGCCGCAGATGTCGCAGCTCACAACGTTGCTGCGGATGCCGTACGCGACGGACTCGCAAATGTTGCACCAGTGCGGCCTAGCCACACACACGTGAGGCGCGAGGCTGGAGGCGCTTTGCCGTACCCGGCGCGGTTGTTGCTGCGCCACTGGTGGACGCCGAGGACGTACGGGCCGTCCTGGAAGCTAAAGGTGCTGAAGAAGAGCACGAGGCGGTTCGCGCAGAGGTAGAACGCGACGATGGCGGCGACCGCGCCGGCGATCGAGAGCATCCACGACATGGCCAATTCCAAGTTGCGTGTTCTTAGCGCGTGGTCGCCAGCTGCCTCCGGAAGACAACTCCGGCACCCAAATTTGAAACTGTCACGGCCAGCGGTGACGTGGCCGCGTCGACAACCATGGTCGCGCCGCCAAGATGGTCACATTGCCCTTTGCTCCTCGTGTACAAGCGGCAAGAGATCGCCGGGATCGACCGCCACAAGCGCAGGATGCAGCCCAGGAGGATTCCTTGCGACAGAACCTCTGATTACGCAAGAATCGAGGCGCGGGACCGCGTCACGGTGTAGCGTCACGCCGACACCGCCAAGGACGCGATTCCACCACGGTGAGCCGCGCCGCAACCGGTTTACGTTATGATGTGGACGGCTATCGTGTGCTACCGGTCGACTGGCCATGCTAGGTATCTCGATCCGACACCGTGTTCTAGCTGCAAAGCCAACGCAATGAAGGAGATGGTAGTGTTTGGACATAGCACTGGAACGTAGTAGAGGTCACTCGACGCTGGCTGCTGTGGCCAAGAGCGCTTCTTGGATAAAACTACACAGCGTCTATACATCAAAGGGGACGTAAACACGTCGCTGCGTACGTGGTGATGTCGCCGTCGAGCACGGCCGACGTATTCGACTTGGAGACGTTGGTGCGATGGTCCTTGACCATCTACACGACCAGTCTTCTCGTGAAACGAACCTCGTCAAGGTGGTGCTGACCTTGTACGGGTGCAGCACATACGAGCGAATCTACCGTGGCATGAGCTATCGATTTCAATCTCGAAAATGGTCGTCGTCGTACTTGGCTGCCCCACCCGTTGTCACCGAGGCCTTGCGTGTACTTACGCCGCTCGTTTTCCCTGACCACCATGTCATTTCGAGACGTCAACAGCACAACGTACTGGTCGATGAGCTCGAGCTGCAGAAGACGCGCGCGCAGCATTTCCATCGCCGTGTCCTTGTTGCGGTGTTGCGACCGGTCCGATTGGCATTGGACGACAATATTCGTCGGCAAGTGCGTGATTCGAATCGCGCTCTCCGTCTTGTTGACGTGCTACACAAAGAGGCAATGTGGATCGATATGAGGAGTGACGTCGCGTACTTGGCCACCCGGTCCCGACGCGCGGTAGGTGTCGATGCGCAGGTCTTTAGTATCGATGCGAATATCCCTTGCGCCTAGTCCCCGACGCTTGTCATGGCTCTGAAACGTGGACTGGGGTACACACCTGGGACCGCCGCCGCTAGCGGAAAGACACGGACTTGGGCAAACGACGTGTGGCGTCGCGACTACGCTTCGCAATCAGAGTAAACCACTGCAAGGGAGTCGAGTACCGCGCTGTCAAAGGGCGAAATGCGAACAAGCCGGTGGACGCCGGCTTCGGTGCGCGTCCAGCCGTAAGCGTAGCTGCCTACGCATGTTTTGTTGGAGAAGAGAGATGACAGAGATGCAACCTACCGTCGAGACGCAAACACACGGATCGGTATCCTGCTTCGTCGCCGGGCACTGCATTCACGAGCTCAGCTATACAAGACAATGATGCTCCGCTTGAAAGTGATATGGCGGACGCACTCGCAAACCCTTGGTCGGTGCCCCAACGCATGTACATGCGCAGCAGCATGTCGACCCAGTCGCAGCTCTCGGTACCGCCTACACGCTCCACCACTTAGATGAATCCTGCATGTCGCGACGTAGTCTACCGGCGCCAGCGTGGATCTCGAGAAAGCACGACGACGGGTCGGCGGGCTCGGACATGAGCAGCTCGGCGCGGAGCTTCTTGGCCGACGCTAACGCCGTCGCTAGGGACGCGACGCAGCCCGCGACAACGTCCTCTTCATGCTCTTCCAGCGCAAGGTCTACTCATCTTCGTCGATTGTATTGTGCGTGCACAATGCGTACCAAAGAGCTCCTTGGTTTCGTCGAGCGTCTGTTGCAGCTGGTCGGCCATCGCGTCACGCTTCTCGAGAACACTGAGCTGTTGCAGAAGCTTGGCAGCGCTAGTGGCGTCGTCCCAGAGCGTATCGGACTGCGTGGCGTGGCGAAGCTCTGCAAGCGCAGTCGTGTGCGAGGGCGACGAAAGCACCTTGGTGATGAGCGCCACGTCCGTGCTCGTCGCGTCGTGCGTCGACCAGAAGTCTGCAATCATGGCCTTTGTCGCGCGGTCAACGTCGTCGGAGCTGAACCAAGCGCGCCGAGCGCTGGCGAGCATGCTGCGCGGCCAGGCGCGGGCCGTGCGCCGCTGGACGACCCACATGATCCAATCCGGATCCGTCCTGAATTTCGGCATTGCCAGTAGCCTTATCCGGATATGCCGCATACAAGCTACGAGGTCTTTATATTCGGCATCGATGCCGCAAACAATTACTTCTCTGGGATTGGTTGAAACGAGGTCCAAACGCGCTGTGATTGGTACGATTAGTCTTCGTCCGCGATCTTCTTGGCAAGCATGACGACACCGTCGACCGTGTAGGGCAGAATGTCCATGTGAAGTTTGCCGGCCGACTGGGCGTGGAGAGCCTCAAATGCAGCAGGTGCGTTCTCGCCAAAGTCGTTGCCCCACACCAAGAGCTTCTTGAGCCCGCTATCGTCATTGCGCAGTACACCGTGCGCCAGGCGCGCGAGGCCGTCGTCTTCGATCGAGTTGTACCCGAGGCAGAGTGTCTCCAGCGTCGCGGACGCGCTGAGCACAGTTTCAAATGCTTTTGCGCCTTCGTCTGTCATGCGGTTGGCCGTCAGATCGAGCTCGATAATGCGCGACCCGCTCAGTAGCAGCGCAGCGAGGGCTTCGGAGCCAAAGCCTCCAATCTTGTTGGCACGCAAGTGCAAACTCGTGAGTGTTTTGTTGTCGAGCAAGCGCTCGGCGAGGACTTGGGCGCCAATGTCCGAAATGTGGTGTTTGCACAGACTCACATGCGTGAGCGTCGAGTTGGTCTGGAGCATCTTCCCGAGGTGCTGGAGCGCTTCTTCCTCGAGCGTGCGCAAGAGCGGGTTGTCCATATTGATACTCGATATGCTCTCGTTGAGGGACAAGGCGGTGGCCATCGCAATGAGGCTGCCGTGGCCCAAGTCCGTGTCGCCAATGTCGAGCGCCTCGAGGCACGTGTTGCCTTCGAGCATCTCGGCGACAAACATGCCGCCTTCGTTGCCCATGGGGTTTCGCCGGAGGTTGAGCGACTTGATCGTCTTATTGTTGCGGAGTGCTGTGCACAAGATTGAGATGCAGTCGCTATTGAGCTCGTTCCCGCTCAAGTCGACGCGCACCAACGCGCACTTGTACCCGTCCACGTTGTTCTAGCACGACATCATGAGTCAACCTTCGACATTGGCAAGTCGACTACAATAAAGAGCTTGGAGAGTGCTCGGACGGCGCTCAGATGCGCTTCAGGATCGGTCTCGTCGACTTCGCCGATGCGGTTTTGCTGCAAATCGATGGTCTCGAGGTCGGTGACCTCGGTCGAGAGGAGGCTCGTCGCGAGCGTGAGCACATCGGCATTCGTCACGCGGGACGCAAAGTTCTGGACCGTGTTGCCAGGAAGGATGAGTCCCGCATTGCCACTTGCCGCTGGTGTGTCCTATGCAATTGTGTCAGCTGTGCCAAGCCTTCGAACGGCGACGCACCCTGCTCATGCTGCACTCAATCGGCAAACCGGCGCCCAGTTACAGTCGGTTTCGTAGTTCGACGATCATGTCCAAGAAGCAAGCACCGGCGACAGTCGAGGTCGAGGAGACGCCGGTCGAGACACCGGACGAGGCCAAAGGCTCCGGCATCTTCACTTTTCCCGACGGCGGCAAGTATGGTGCGACTCTCCAAAGCTCGCTGTCCCAAAACTGACGTATTGCATAGATGGCGAGTTTGAGAGCTGCCAACAAGTCACGATGCGCCACGGCCACGGAACCCACTGGAACGGGCCCGAAAAGTATACGGGAACATGGAGCAAGGACACCATGGATGGCAAAGGTAGACTTTCAACTCGTGGACTGCCGTGTCATTGGCCGTGCCCGTTAGGCGTCTATTCGTTTGCATCCGGAGCTGTGTACGAGGTATGTATCGCCGGAATTGTTACCATTCCCATATTTCGTGACTTGTAGGGGGAATTCAAAGCCAATTTGTTTTGTGGCAACGGCACGTACCGCTGGAGCGACGGCGCCACGTACGTTGGTCAGTGGCGCGAGAGCAAGTATGTGATCTATTTCTAGTCGTTGTCTACTATAGTCAGTCAATGATCGCGTACTAGGATGCACGGGAGCGGCTGCTACACGGACAAGGACGGCGTCGAGTGGCGCGGCACGTTCTTCAACGGGAAATTTGACAATGGGCGCGCGTTCCTGACACTGCGCTGAGCATTGTATGAAACACATGTACACATCATATAAAACATCTGTTTTAAACACACCTCGGAAAGCTTGCCACTTGTTCCGTTGCAATTTATTTTATTTTTATTACTTTAACAAAGAAAGATCCATGCAGCGGACGACGTCGGCCGTGTTCCTGCTGCTCGCGCTGCTTGCGCTGAGCGCGTTCGCGCAGCAGGACGTCGACAATACGTTCTGCCCCATCTGCAACATGGTCGTTGTGCCGAGTATTGCGCAGGCCATCCAAGGCGACCAGGCCATCTACGCGTGCGACATGGCCGGCCACTTTCACCAGCTCACGAGCAGCCCCGTGCGTTCGTCGCTAGCCCTGCACGCTCTTACGCACGACGTAGAAAACGTTCCTGCGCGGTACGGTCGCCGTGCCGCAGCTGCCTGCACCGTACGTCAAGGCCAAAATGGGCTGCCCCGTGTGCGGCCATCCCGACCTCACGCACGCAGTGCCATGGGGTCCGCACGGCAACCAAAAGATCTTTGCGTGCTCAGAAGACCACGCCAAGATGATTCTAGACAGCCCGGTATGATTTTTTGCCCTATGCTATGCAAGTAGTTGTTTACGTCGTCACTAGGCCACGTACTTTGTCGCGGCGCCTCACAACGACACGTCAGGCTTTTGCCACGGTGCGACCGGCATGTACGATGGATTCCAGTCGGCGATCGACGGCTTTTGCCCGCGTATCTTTTTCGAGTCGTGGGTGCTCAACTCGGGCGCCAAGTATGCGATTGGGTTTTGCGGCGTCGTGCTCCTCGGTATTGCGGTCGAGGCGCTCGTCGAAGCCCAAACGCTCCTCCGGCAGCGCTGGACGCGGCGATATGCAGTCGCCGTGTGGTCCGAGCCGTCGCTGGACGATTCGCTCTTGGACGACAGCAATGAAGCGCTCTCCAAGGAGCTCTTGACGTGCGACGAGCGCCCGCGCGTCGTGGCGCGTCGCCTGCCAATGTGGTGCAAAGTGTGTTTGGCTGGCGTCTACATGTGCACCATGACCGGTGCATATCTGCTCATGCTCGTTGTCATGACGTACGAGACGGGTTTATTCATCGCCGCAGTTCTCGGCCTCGGGCTTGGTTTCTTCTTCTTCAAGGACGTCGATGGCCTGCTCATGGAAGGCAACCCCGACCCGTGCTGCTCCACGTAGCATTGCATTCTGAATGTTTGATAAAGTGCTCGTTTCTTTCTGTGCCGCTGTAGGACCAACCGACCCGACTCACCAAATGATCTAACTCGATTCTGGCAATGATTCATATCACGCGCCGTTACTGAGCACGGAGTTGCTACGTCGGTAGCAGTCCCATGACGAAACCAATAGCGAGTACAATGCCTCCCAACTGCCGGCGCTCATTGGTTTGTATCGGACGATGGCAAGTTAAGGAAAGAAGATGACAGAACGGCTAGATTAGATACAATATTGTCATGGGAAACCGATTGTTTGGCGCTGAGCGTGAGGTGTCATACGGCACATCTTGCTTCGACTTGCCTTCAGGGTCTCTCTGCATCTTCCGACACGCCTCGGTTTCGCGGTTGCTGCAAGAAAGCAACATTCTCGTCTGTGGTCACGGTTAGAAAGACTGGGGCAACTCGTAGGGTGACTAGGGCAAGCAGTGCAATTGATGCACCAGCGGTGCCTCCTTCCACCGATGCACTGGCTGGACCCGAGTGCCCTCCAATCAAGAGACGCAGCGTCGGTGTGCAAATGAGCTTGCCCTGTGCTGCGGTAAAGCGTTTGATGATTGATGTTCCTTGGTATCAGCAACTCCAAATTTTTTGATACTGAGGGGTTCTTGTTGTTGGAAAGTTATGCAAGCGCTTGAAATGCATAAACAGAACTCATTGACGATTAAATGTAGCGCTCGAGCTCGTCGCGGATGACGGTAAGCTCGTCAATTTGGCAACGAAGCGACTTGTTCTCTGCAATCGCCTCGTCGACCTGTGCGGCAAAGACCGCCGCGACGTCTTTCCAGGACAAGGCTGACCGCTGCACCGCTCGCTCGGTTAAGATCATATCGATTTGCGCCTTGAGCTCTGCCACTCGTTGCGTGAGGTACCGAAGTTCGTGCGGTGTTTGCTTGCGGTACTCGCGCTTCCGTTGCCGTTCAAAGAGCCGCTTCTGAAATTTGGGGTCCGCTGGGTCGTGTCGCTGGGCGTCCTCAATGTCATAGAGGATTTCGCGCGTGGACAAGTCGTCTTCCTGAAGCATATTGTCCAATACCAAGAGGCGGTCGGCCGTGATGGATTTGGTCCTTTCTCCAGCTGGGAGCATTCCACCCGTTACACATACTAGTAAGCACCACCATAACACCACACTTGACATTTGTATGTCGAAAGGTAACGGGACAAGACGTTCACTCAGTATCAAAGACGCTCATTCAGTCGTTCGTTGTGGACGGATTTGGACGCTTTGCCTTTTTCGTGGCACCTATGTCTTTGCGTAGACGTCACCGGTTCAATTCCTCCAGTCGTCACCGCACCCGTTTGTCCCCGACAAGGTCGGCACCGTCTACGGCTCCGTCGGAAATGGACGATCTAGTGGCATCAAGACCAACTTCTTGGTGACACATGTCCAAGCTCGATTCCGATGACTCGCATTGTTCTTCAAGGTCTTTTGCATCGCTCTGGAACAAACACAAACCATGAAGCGCCTCACGGAAACAAGCATCACTAAAGCAAAGATGGGACTAGCGCCAACACGATTGCCCCGAAGTGACCACCGTATGCGCACTCATCCAGCATTGCCTGTGTGCCTAAGCCGTCACATTGCGATAAACCAAACGGTAGTGTCTAAAAGATGACGTGATTTTGACAACAGGATGCAGGTCAACGCCACCGCTCGGTTTCGCCAGGCGTACATGCCTTGCATTCAAGCGATTGCACCGTAGCTCGTATCCCACATCACCCCACACGCAAGCCCACGACAACAATCACGTGGCGTCCAAAGATAAATAAGGTGTGTTGTTTATGGCGGCGTCTGCCGGACGTACTCGTAGACCCATTGGTTCATCTCGTGGAGGCGCTCGCGAAGCGCTTGGTTCTCGACGAGCGCGTGCTGGGCTTCCTCTTCAAAGACGGTGGCAACGACCTGCCACGAGATCGAGAGCGTGGACTTGTCCTCGGACGTCGTGTGGTTCTCGCGCTGGGCTTGGAGGGCCGCCAGATGCGCTTCGAGCTCTTCGATGCGCTGCTTGAGGTATCGCATCTCGTGGGGCACTTGCTTGCGGTACTCGCGCTTGCGCTGGCGGTCGTAGAGTCGCTTCTGGAAAGTTGGGTCCGTCGGGTCGTGCTGCTGGGCGTCGAGAATGTCGTACATGATTTCGCGCGTCGAAACATCGTCTTCGCCGAGCATTTTTGTAGTTTTGTGTGTTGTGACGCGGCCGAGGTCAATGGAAAAGTGAGATCCAACCGTGCGTGACATCTTGTGCACGTCTGGTCTCGTTGACGTTGCACCTGATGGTCGCGAGCTTGTGAATGGTTGTCTCTCGGGCGGGTTTTCGACATTGCGTAACTGGAATCCTATACGGGACGTCCAACCCGCCCGACATCCAGCACTCATGCTCATCGACCATCATTCTCATTACCTTGCATATTCGATAGCTCAGACATCTATTTCTACGGGCATAAACCTGTGAGAATATATATGGACGACATGCTGATAAGAGGTTCTCGCGCGCCGCAGCCAAACATTTTTATGAATCGGGCATCAAAATTCTCTTGATATTTGTATGGTGCCATTGACAGCGAAGCGGGATCCCAACGCAGACGTGGGTTCGAGCTGCGGATTTTCGTTGTGTGGGGTACCTGAGCTCAATTAATTGAAATAAATAGGATATATGTATGGCATACAAAATACAGGACAGAAGCTCCCTCCTGAAAAGCCTTTGGAAAATTTCCCCTAAAATCGGAAGGAAGCCCCATGTCATTCTTCGCGTCCGACGATAGCGGCAGCGTCTGGTCCAAGGCCGCGACCCTCTTCAACATCTCGAGGTAGATACCTCTCCACGCGACCGCCATGCTGGCTGGCGACGGCGATGGCATGGCGCGCTTCCTCGCCCATGCCCGGCCAGCCATCGAGGGGCGGCGATCCATCGTAACGTCTGGCTCATGCGACGTGCTAGCCCCTTGGCCGACCTGCTCGACCGCGATGACTTTACGCTCGAGCAAGTGCTTGAAGAAGACGAGCTCATCCAGGAGGTGAAGACGCGCAACGTCAAGCTCCTGCAATTGTATGTTCTACCGTCGTCGACGACCCACGGAGAATGATGACGTCCATTAGCTTGTCGACAGAGGAGTCGGTGCGCAAGATGGTCTACTACATTACGCGCACGCCCGAAGACGGCGACAGCGACCTCAAGGCCATCAAGTGCGAAGATGCATGTATCCACACCGTCGTGCTCACGTGGCCTATCGCATAGGTACCCGTTCATGTCGTGCGAGGTGCTCTGCTGCGATATCATGTGCATCACCGAGACGCTCTCGACCGCGGCCGACGGCGCGATTGTCGAGGACTTGTTCAAGCTCCTCCAGCAGCCGTCGCCGCTCGACTCGCGCCTCGCTGGCTACTTTGAGAAGGTAGTCTTGCCACAGCCATGTCTCGTCCCTGCAAGGCGCATAGGTCATTTCGCTGCTCATGATCCGCAAGCCGCAAGAGATGACGACGCTCATGAACAAGAACGCGGACGGGCTGTTGCAAGGGTTTATGGCCCACACGCTCTCGTTCTCGATCGCCGAGATGTTCAAGCGCCTCATGCAGCCCTACCATTCGGGTAGCGCCATCCATACCTTGTGCATCGTGGCTCACTTGGACGCAGATTACTTGGACGACGTCGACTTTACGCACCCGTATGCGTCCAACAACTGGTACTCCTCCAACGACGACGACAGCATCATGGGCACGCCGGAGGCCAAGAAGACGCTTTTGTGGCAATCGGATCGCCATGTCATCGACTACCTCGTCGCGAATCTGAAGCCGACCAAGGACATCAATGGCGAGACGGTCGCTGTCGACAGCGACGTTCACAAGCACACGGCCGAAATCTTGGCCGACATCATCCACTATGGCACGCGGTCGAGCTCGGACACGTCCAGCCCGCCGTCGGTGACCCTCGTCGAGCACATTGAAACGAAGGAAGTCATCGACTCGATCCTGGACCTCGCGCTGCCAGTGGGGACGCCGGTCATGTCGTCGATGACGTCGGCGCTCACGGTGCTCTCGGCGCTCTTGACGCGTCATGCCAACGCCCACTACAGCTCGACCACGCCCGAGACGGTCTCGGTGGTCATCTCTGCGACGGTCGAGCGCCTTCCCCAGGTACAAAACTGTGGCTGTGACGGTTCGCATCTCACAAATGTGATAGATTTGCAGAGCCCTCAAGGACGACGCGGGGACGCGCGTCAACACCAAGCACCAAACTGTGCCGCGCTTGGGACTTCGCCGGCTCAAGCTCGTCGGTCTCTTGGTGCTGCTCATGCAAGCCAAGTACCGAGTCATTGACGCCGTGATTCTCGCCGAGGTACACTCGATGAAAACTCAATTGAAATTCTGACTTGTACTTCTGTAGAATGCAATCTGCACGTGCTTGGACCTCTTTTTTGAGTTTGAGGCCGTCAACATGCTGCACGCCGAGATCGACAGCATGGTCATTGGCATCCTTGCCAGCGGCGGCTCGGACCTTCAGGTCGGCCTTCTCAAGCAGTCGAACCTCCTCGGGCGCATCATGCAGACGTACGAAGAGAACGCCGTACGACGACAATCAATTCGTCCCGATCATTTGCCTAATGCCTGCAATAGGAGGTCACGAACGGCAATGCGAAGGGCTACATGGGCCACTTGCTGCGCATCTCCAACATGATTACGACCGTGACGGACGAGGTCCGCGGCACGGACGCACGCGGCTCGCTCAACGATATGACGCATGCCGACAGCATCGTCGACCACCTCGAGAGCGACCCGCTCTGGCCCAAGTGGGAGGCGTTTGTCAAGACAACGCTGAGCGCCATCAACGAGAAGGAAAGCCATTCGATCCACGGTGTCATGTCGGAGCCCGACGTACGTTGCGACTTTTGCGTGTCGTTGTGTCTCACGCCGCTATGCGTAGGTCGATCCGTACAGCACCATGATGCAGTTTGACCATCAGTTTACGTCGTCGCAGTTTGCCGATATGATGATGGAGCAGGGACATCACTCGTTTGAGACGGACTTTGACCTGCCGCATGACAACGACCCGCCGGCCATGATCCACGACAGCAGTAGCAGCGACGAAGACGAAGATTTCACAGAGTTTGACCCGCGCGCGGCGTACGGCATGAGCGCCGGCATCCCCGTGCTCTCGTCGGATGACGACGACGACGCGATCATGCCGTCGGGCTCGCACACGCTCAACGACGCGTCGTGGGCCAACTTTGAGTCGCTTAGCGTCAGCGACAGGTAGCACGTGATTGGACAGTGGTCATCCAATCGTTTTCCTCGTAGCGCCCCGCCAGTGGTCGAAGACTTTGCGTCGTTTGACGCGCCGCCGCCAAGCCCGTCATCGACGTGAGCACGGTAGTACAACGTATGTAGGACGTCAGGACTTGTTTTCGCTTTATAAACATTGGCATGCTTCCATGCCCTGCGTGATGATGACGAGGACGATGTACGAAGAAGTGCAGTCGAGGTAGTATTACGTCGCGGGGCCCCATCGACTCTTCTTGACGCGGGGCGCCGGCTCGACGACCGCGTCGGCTTCGCGCATTCCCCACCGACTGCGTTTCCGCTCCGGCGGCGGGGCGAGGCTACCAGCGCTACTACTACTACCGACGACCGCAGCGGATCGGGACTCGGGCGGTGGGCTGTACGCTGGCGGTGGGCTGTACGCTGGCGGTGGGCTGTACGCTGGCGGTGGGCTGTACGCTGGCGGTGGGCTGTACGCTGGCGGTGGGCTGCGGACTGGAGGCGGGTTGTAGACGGGAGGCGGGTTGTACGCTGGCGGGGCCGAGCTCCGCACAAAGCCAAAGGTCTGCTCGATGCACATGGGAGCGGCCGCGCCATTTTTGCTGGCACTAGACGCTGCCACGAACCCGAGGCCCATGCCTCGTTTTGCCGGTGGTCCGCCTTTCTTTTTGCTCTGGAAGCCAAAGCCGAGGCCCTGACGCTGCTCTTGCTTTGACTTGGGCTGCGTCATGGACATCGCATACTCGCGCTCAACAGCATCAATCTCATCGTCGTCGCCGTCCTGATGGGATGCTTGTGGCGCGCGGCGGCGATGAAAGTGGGGGGAGCGCGCCGCCAGGTGGAGCAGATCCGAGCCGACGACGTTTTGGCGCGACCCGTCCATGTTGTTGACGAGGTGGCCCGCAAACTCGACGTCGTTCGGTGTCAAGAGCGTGTACGCGGTGCCCGGCGCGACGCCGTCGACGCCCATGCGGCCTGTGCGACCAATGCGGTGCACGTGCGTGTCGATGGACTTGGCGGCGTCGTAGTTGACGACGTTGCGTACGTCCTTGATGTCGAGACCGCGCGCCGCCACGTCCGTAGCGACCAAGATGGGACACGCGCTCGTCTTGAAGCGGTGGAGCGCGTCGGATCGGTCGTACTGCGACTTGTCGCCATGGAGCGAGACGCACGTGAGTTTGATCGGATGGTCGTTGAGGTTGGTTGAGACTTCGTCGACACCGGCCTTGCTACTGACAAAGACAAGGAGCTTGCCTTGCGCCACGAGCTCGGGGAGCTTTGCAATGAGCCAATTCCACTTGGCCGCAGGGTTCTACTTGCATCCAGTTGAAACATTGATACAAAAGACAAGACGTACCGGGAGCACGACAGCAACTTGCTTGATTTCGTCGTTGGCCTGGCCGACGGTCCCCACAATGATCTTGGCGGGTTTGGTCAGCACGTCCCGTGCCAAAGCCTCGATGCGCTTACGAAAGGTCGCCGAAAAGAGCAGCGTCTGACGATCCGGCCGAATCTACCTCGCAACGATAGGTGGTGGAACGAAAATGGACGATGCTTTGTGTACCTGCCCCAAGATGGACCGGAGCTGCGCTTCAAAGCCCATCTCAAACATGCGGTCGGCTTCGTCGAGGACGACAAAGGTCACACGCGAGAGGGACTTGATGACGCGTTTCCGGAGGTGCTCGAGGAGGCGACCAGGCGTCGCGACGACGATCTCTGCGCCCTTCTTGAGCGACTGGATTTGGTCCCACTTGTTGCCTGCACCGCCGTAGATGGCTGCGCAGTTGGCGTCCATGCTAAACTTCTTGGCTTCAACGTAGATCTGATGGGCGAGCTCCCGCGTCGGCGAGAGCACGATCGCGATCGGCCCTTCGTCTTTCTCGAGGTACCGCTGGTCCATGATGTGCACCATCATTGGCAGCACGAACGCCAGCGTCTTCCCGGACCCGGTCTGCGCAATCGCAATGAGGTCGCGCCCCGAGAGCGCCAGCGGGAACGCCTGGGACTGGATCGGCGTCGGCGCCTCGAGGCCATGCTTCATGAGCAAGGCGAGGATCTGCCGGCTAAAGCCAGCGTGCATGAACGACCGGATCGGCCCCACGTCGTCGGACCCGACGGGCAGCTCGACCCGAATGTCAAGCTCGCGCCGCGACGCTTGTACCTCGGCCGGCGTCATCGCAATGGTGGGCTTGAAGAACGCTTTCCGAAATGGCTCGTATGCGATCTTCGAGTGGTCGAGCGCTTCGATCTCTTGCATGTCTTGGTTCTTGCTCATGCGGTCCTCGACGTCTTCTTCAAACACTTGGGCAGAGCTGGGTATGGCCATGACGGTAGTCACGTCCTTCTCCTCTTCCTCAAAGGTGCATCGTTCGATCCGAGGCCGGCGCTCCGCCTTCTCGACCTCGACCTGGGCCTCGATCCCGGCCATGAACGCGTCCAGCGGGTCGATCTCGTCGTCGCTCATTCTGGGCTCGATGCAAATGGCAAAACCCACCACGGAGGTGAAAAATAGATGAAAAACCACCGTGTAAAACAATCAAGGTCCAAGGCCATTGGCGATTAATTGGCCAATCGCGTCGCTTGTACCATCCTGGTCAACATGGAGGGCGATGAAAGGGATGATTTGTTCCATGGTACAGAATCACGGGTTTGTAAATGTAGGGGGACGATGCCGAGGAGGC